TCATAATAAGATGCAGGCCAACTGGCATCAGTACATAGAATGTACGAGTATGCGAGCTGGAAAGCTAAACCACGACTTAAGCTTGAAAGGAATACAAGAGATAATACTTACCTTGACTCTGTTCGACTCATGAACAATTGAACTCAAAAATAGAAAGCAATAAGACACATGCAATATATATATTTAGCTTACAAAACAATGTAAACAACTTAGCTCGTTAATGATAAAACAATAACAAACTCAACTTTTCTTGTTTAAAGGTAATATAACTTTTGTGGGAGGTTCTTTAACCGACAACCACCACTATGAGCCCTAGTGATGATACAACGTTTTACCTCACGTTGCCCAAGGACCATCCTATACCTTGCCGTGATATAGGACCTTACTATTGCTTAGTGGATCCACTAGCTTAATCTCACGTAATCATCTAAAAAGAATGATACGTCAAGTCCCATGTTGGCGCATGGTTCTTATGGAGAGTTGAGTTAATGTGAACTCGTCTCCCCAATTCGGTGCTCAATACTACTCCCAAAATACTTTGGCTCATAAATGCTTTAAACACATCTTTCTTTAATTGAGATAACTACTCAAAACTTAGCCCAAAGGCTCTTTTGGAAAACATGGTTCCCTCCTTACTTAAATGTAAAAACATTTATAAACTTCTTTGGGAATACTTAGTTCCCTAATAGCTTTTGAGAGAATGGACTCAACTTTAAACTCTTGACTTAACTTGAAACCCAAGACTCTTACTCAACTTGAAAATCTATACTTTTCACTTGACTTGCAACTTGAACCTTAAAACGACATTATAACGTTCAATAACGACTCTTGAAAAGCTTTAACGACTTGCTTGGACTTGCTTCTTAACTTTACTTGACTTGACTCTAACTTCACTTGACTTTGATACTAACTCGCCTTGAATTGGATTATGGATTCAAGACATATAATCGCATGTTTATAGATGAGTTCGGGAGGTTTAAATGTACATTAGAGTGTTGGAAACAACTAAGAAACATAGGTATAACACCTAGGAACATGCATGAGAAAGTGTGGAAAGAAAGGGGGAACTTGGCGTCCTTGGCGCTCTGCAAGGCGCGGAGCGCCAGCCCTTGAAACTCAGAGGGCCAACTGAGGCGCTCTGCATGGCGCGGCGCCCCAAGGGGTGAAGGCCAGTGCACTTCTTGGGGCGCTTTGCAAGGCGCGACGCGCCACCCCTTTTCTCCGACAACTTCGACTTTTCTCCTCCTTTACTCCAACTCTAAACCTTCTAAACTTCAAGGTTTCCAGCCCCAAACATTTAGAATCATAAATCCCTCAATATTCAACAGATTACAACTCAAAAACCAACCGGAAACATGCCCCAAATCACAAGGGACTTCAACAACACAATCAACAATATCAACAACACAACCATCAACTTCAACAACACAACTAATCCTCTTTCTCAATAATAAAATGAGTTGGGTGTGTGGGGGAAAGAATCAACCCACACTAAGAACTCACATACCTTGGTAGGGATCACCCCTGACGAAAATCCACGATGGAACTTGACGGAAACTAGTTGATCTCCTCTTTCTTCTCTTCTTCTTCCCCTTCTTCTCTTCTTCTTCTCTTCTTCTCCTCAAGCCCTAGCTTTTTACCCTTTTAAAATGGGATACAAATGATCCAAAATCAGCCTAACACAAAATATAACCCCAAAAGAAAAACTAGGGAAAAGACCAAAATGCCCTTAAAATTTCCGAACGGATTCCCTGCCAACTGCCCAACTTTCAAAGGGCATAACTCACTCATATGAACTCGGAATTGAGTAAACTCGGTGGCGTTGGAAAGATCTTTCCAAGGGATTTCCAAACATAACTGGAACTACTCCTAACTCATCCTGATCTAGGAGTTATGACTGCTCAAAGTTGGCCAAAACTCACTGATTTCCCACACTTGACCAAATTTCCAGATTTTAAATTTTTCCAAAAAATGTCTATTTCCAATTTCAAGCTTTTTCATAGTTATTTCAAATTGCCGGATGTTACAGTGGCGGGGAGGGGGGGTCAGGGTGAGGGTGGGGTAAAAAAATAAAAAAATTGAAGTTGAAAAATATTTTTTAAAATAAGCTTTAAATTTATTTTTTCAGTAAAAAAAAATTAGTTTTTCAACAAAAAAATTGTAATTTGAAGTTGGAGAAAAGTTTTGGAAAATGTTTTCCTTAATTTTGTAAGGGAAGTCTTTTTTTTTTTTTTAGGAAAATGTTTTCCTTCATACCAAACATTTTCCGGAAAATGTATCTAATTTTCTGTGTGAACTTATATGATGGTTTTTATGTTTTTAGTTTTTACTATATCTTTAGCATGATTGTAGTCAAAATTCAAGTGATATACTGTCAATAATATAAATTCTTGTTCAACGAATTCACTAATCCATACTAATTAATAATTAGTAACCAAAAAAGTTTGTTTCACTCCAATGAGTTGCACCCTGATGAACCCATCACATCTGGTTCTCTTTTTGGGAATGAATTAATTTATGTTTGTTTTAGTATAAAATAATTCATTTAATAAGTGTAGAATTATATGTATTCCTGATGATTCTTTTTATATGTATTCATTAATAATCTAGAATAAATTTACTTTTAAAAGGTAATAATAAAAGGTACTATTAGTATGATTGTAGTTAAAATTCATGTGATATACTATCAATAGTACAATTCTAGTACATACTAATATGACTGTTGTTGGCAATTCACATTAGAATCTTTGCAGCCCGATTGACTTCCTTGTCCGGCATATCATCATATGTGTTTTTTGTCATCTTTATTTTCTATATATTTCCTAATAAATAAAATAAACAAAAGTAAAATTGAAAATCAGCTTTAAATATAGTTGTAATATCTATTAGTGTCCATTTCTTAGTCGAAGCATAAAAAAAATATACCAATTTACTTGAGAAGAACAAGTGAGCGAACAATTAAAGCATGTTTGACCAACCTTCTGAAAGGTCAAATTTTTCTTTATCTAAAAAGAAAAATATTTAATTTGTTATAAAGATATGTTTGACCGAGATTTTGGTGTGAGAACAAATATTTTGGAGTACTAGTAGAAACTTTCAAGTAAGAACTGATAAGATGATGAAATTCAATAAAGACTTTGATTCAATCATGGTAAAGATTAAAAATCAGTCAATTCTAAACAAAATATACCGAAATGAATGAGATCGAAGAAAATCTTTTTAGCTATCTTTAGGTAAAATATCATGTATTTATATATTAGGAAAATTTTATTAAATAGGTACGAATATTTATTTTTCAATCCAACAACTAAACAAAATGGTTGATTATATGTGGAAAAATATTTGGGATAACTCATTGGGAGATTTTAAACAACAAAAATTATTCCAATCAGATTTTTAATCTCCAACTTAATCAAAGTGAACACACAAAATTAGGATGGGCTAAATACTGAACCCTTAAATATATATATATATATATATATATGAAGAATCATCATCATCTTCAACACACGATAAAACTTTAAACGAGATGAACAAAGGTGAAAAACAAAGAAATTAATGACAAATCTCACCTCTAGTAACTTGTTAATGGATGGTATGATTTATATCGATGTTTCAAAGATGAATGTAGGAAGAAGAAGGGAGAATTTTGTTCATTTCAAGATAAAAAGGAGGAGGAAGAAGATGTTGACCGAAAGAACATGAATGGTGTGATGAAGATATATTGAAATTAGATACACAATTTGTGTTTGATTTATAGAAGTTAAAAGGACTAAAAAAGGAATATTAATTAAGAGATGAAATGGATTTTAATAATCTTCTAAATTAGTCAAATGAAATCTAATCTCCTCACTAAAAATATTGTTTCCTCCCTCCAAAAAAAATAATATTCAAATTCAAATTACAAGACTTGATATATCTAATTTTTTTGTGTGAACTTATATGGTGGTTTTTTTTTATTTACTATATTTGGAAGCTCTACATATAATATTATAAATTACTATTTTTCCTAAATATAAGATAAGATATTTAACATGGTTGTAGTTAAAATTCGTGTGGTATAGACGTAAACAATCTACATATAGTAGGATTCTTTTTTCGATGAATTCAATAACAACAACAATAACATAACAATTGTAATCCACAGGTGATGTTTAGGAGGGTCTAGTCACTAGTGTATTCAGACCCCACCCCTACCTCAAGAAGGTAGAGAGGTTATTTCCAAATGACCCTTAGCTCAATCCAATTCATTTTTTTCTTATTTGATTCCAATGAATTGCACCTTAGTGAATGCATCGCGCCTGGTTCCCTTTTTAGAATGAATGTTATATTTGTGAGGTTTGGGAGGGTATAGTATATATACTCAGAACTTACCCTTATCTCAAGAAGGTAGATAGGTTGTTTTCAAGTGACTCTCGGCTCAAGCAGTGCATATTAAAGCAGTTTAATATATAGCAATCAAACCAGCAAAGGAGTAAATTTGTCAAATTGTCCCTCATGTTGATGAAATTGTATAGTAAAGCTATTTATCTCGTCTTTGTATCAATAATGTCACTCAACATAAATCTTGTCTTCTACAAAGTAATTCCAACCTAAAAAAACACCTTGCACCAGAAATTTGACATGAAAGGGGGGCCAAGAATCAAATTGAGTGGCCAACAACAACAAACTCAGTGAAATTACACGAGTACGATTTAGGGAGGTTGGTGTGTATGCAGCTTTCCCCCACCTGTTGAAGGTAGAGATATGTTGTTTCTGATAGACCCTTGACTCAAATAAAGCATATCAAAACAGGTATCAACATGAGTCGCCATTTAAGAAAGTTACAAAACTATCAACTTATAGGACCATTTGATTTTTCTTTCACATGGTCAGATATTGTTTTAATTAGGAACTAACAAGCATTAGTAAACTAATGATATTTATATTAAACTAAAAAAAAAAAAGATGATTACAACTGAAAGTCTTTAATCTTTTGTTTACAAAATTCTTTCCAAAGTTCACGTTGAATCATCTTCAAAATCTTCTCCTTGTCTATCTCTATGTAGATAAGTCCACCTACGCTTTTCCCTCTCATATTTTACACATGGATCGTCTAATTCATAGTGCAGACGGTCCAGCCCTCCCCTCAGGGGCGTTGCCATGTGCATGTTGGACACCCTTCATCGGAAAAACATACCGTATATACAAGTAAAATGATACACAAAGTGATTAAATAACATATTTTGGACACTTAATACAATTGGTTGTAGTTAGCTTAGCGGTTTTAGACCCCTTTGACGGTTCCAGATGCCTTGAATGAGCTAGTGCTTGCGTGTTCAAATCTCACTAGCAATAATTTTTTTTCCCTTTTTGAAAAGAGCTTTTGTTGTGCAATTTCTGGACACCCTTTTGTAAAATTCCTAGCTCCGCCACTGCCTCCCCTTACAACTTTGTTAAGTTGTGAACCGGAGATGTTTCCCCTTTTTGAAAAGAGCTTTTGTTGTGCAATTTCTAGACACCCTTCATAAAATTCCTAGCTCCGCCACTACCTCCCCTTACAGCTTTGTTAAGTTGTGAACTGGAGATGTCCTCAACGATGAATTGTGAGTCCCTTGCCAAAACACAAACATCATCTCTAGTCCTAACACCTCCGGGCAATCTAGCAGCTGCATCTCTTACTAAACAGTGAAGAGAAAAATGAGTCGGTCTATTTGTCTTAAGAATATGGTGATGAAGAATCCTTTTTAATGGTTTGCCTCCACGCCTTTTTAGCGGAGCAACAACAGATTTATGACCATCGATAGTTGTATATGAGAAAGCCCTTTCAGGTTCTCTATACCTTAGAGCTTCTTCTCTACGGAAACAAGCTCTTATTTCCTCGCTGCGGGGGTGAATCGTTTCGAGACTATTCACAGCTCTTGATTCCTCTGACCTTTCGCCAAGATTGAATGACGTGCATGATTTGTTGTTGGCTTTAATGAACTCAAATCCAATGTAACAGTAACCAACTTCTCAACTATATCAACAAGACTAGAGTTCAATTACAAATCCACAAAGTAAATGCAATAACCGCAAACAACAAAAATCCAAACAAAATCATAGAAATACTAAACATAAGAACTAGGGAATTGATAGACGGTAGAAGGGAGATGAGAAGCTTAGACTCAGATTGGGGATGAGAAATGTAGAAACTGCCTTTTGCACATAATTGACGATCCCTCTGATAGTGATGCCCTGTTCTATTTAACGACAACCAACAGTACCCTCAGCCTGGATCCCAAATTATCCTTTGTGAAGGCTTGGCCCGATTGCTTTTACTTGGCCCAATATCTATTTGTGTGATATCCTTGTTGGTAGGGGTGTACATGACCGGGTTGGTTCGAGTTTTTCAAATATCAAACCAAACCATTTGTGTCGGATTTTTAAATCTATAAACCAAACCAATAAAACTCAAGTTTTTCAACCTCGGGTTTTTTCGGATTTTTTCGGTGCTTTCGGATTTTCGGGTTTTTTCGGTAAAGTATTCATACAAACATATAATTTATGTGTACTTCAAATATTTCTTTAGTGCTACCAAAATACAACTATCTAAGGTGTTTCTTAGGAAAATAACCCAAAATATGATATGAGTAATGACACTAAAATATCCAACAAAATAATAATAATAATGAAATCGCGTAAAACAAATATTGCAAATTAACAAGTCATAATGAAAATTATCATAATTTAAAAGTACTAAATCATGCTAAAATAAGTTTAATAAGTATTAGTTACATGACTAAATATTAAAGGAAATTAAAATTAGATAATGTATTTGAATTGTCTAAACCAATATAAAACAAAAGAACAAATATTCAATATTATTGTCATTCTTAGTGTTGAATTGATTTTCTTTTTGCATTAGTATTAATTTGATTTTATTTGAAGCTTTATTATAATTATCAACATATGTGGACTATACTTTTTATTGAACCATTAAGAATTCTAGGTTTCAAATTGAAATAATATATTAAAAGATAAAAACTATGAAAAAGTATAAGAAATATTTAAAAATTATATCAAAGTAAATATTTTTATGTATAAAATAAAAATTTTAAATTATATATATAATGTCGGATTGGTTTGGTCTCGGGTTGTTTTTTTTTTAGTTAAAACCAAACCAACCCAAATATAGTCAGGTTTTTTTTTTTCAATACCAAACCAATCACTAGTCGGGTTTTTTCTCTCGGTTTTCGGTTCGGTTTTGTACACCCCTACTTGTTGGTATCCTTATTGGGCTGGGGCTGATTCACAACATTGGCCATTTGCATTAGAATCTTTGCTGCACGATTGACTTCCTTGTACGGCATGTCATCAGATGTGTTTACTGTCATCTTTGTAAGGAGTAAGGTGTTTGATCAAAGTTTTTGGTGTAGAAACAAGTACTTTTCGGATAGACAGTGTGTGTTTGATTTATAGACTATGGAGATAGAAGTTAAAAGGGCTAAAAAGGTATATTGATTAAGAGATAAGTGGATTTTAGTAATTTTCTAATTTAGTCAATCTAATCTCCTCACTAAAAAGGTATATTAATTAGGAGATAAATGTATTTTAATAATTTTCTAAGTTAGTCATCTAATCTCTTCCCTCAAAATATTTCTTCTACCCTCCAAAAAAAAATAAAAATTCAAATTCAAATTACAAGACTTGATGTATCTAATTTTTCGTGTGAACTTATATGATGATTTACTATATTTAGAAGCTATATATATAAGTTTATAGATCACTATTTTTCCCTAGTATAATGAAACATCTTTAATACAATTGTAGTTAAAATTCGTGTGGTATACAATATTTTTCATCTTCATTTCTCCTTTATCTCATCTACTGGAGGCTACTTCTTAAGATCGTATAGAAAGGGAAAAATCTTAAAAGGCACTGTAATATTGAATGATGAAGTCCTGCACCAAATGATCTCAGTTTATGTAGCTTATGTATGCAATATGATCTCTTGTGGTTTCCCATGCTAACAGTCGAAAAGACCTGACGTTCTCAGCTGAACTCCATCTCTTGTGAACTTATTTTGGTCCAGCAAAAAGGAAAAAAAGTCCAAGCATCGATTGATCAATTAGACTTGCACAATGCATCTAACTCTGTACTTGGAGATCAAAGCCACAAGCAATACATCAAAGATGACTTTTAGTGGCAATTATTAACAATAATAGCTTAATTGCTGCTAAATATGTTTCTTTAGTGGCAATTATATTTTAGCACTATTTGTAAATGCGGCAAAAGCCTATAGCGACATTGGATCAATGACAATTAACTAATATTGGTAAAGGGTTTAGCACTCTTTGTTGATGTGCATATTTATTGACACTAAAAACTGTTTTTATTGTAGTGAGGGGAGTCTTTTAGCTGAGAGCGCTGGCGTGTTTCTATTGGAATAAGCATCATTCATGAGTCATGACCCCATTGTCCTGTTTCTTTATGAACCAGGACAATTAGTGCTTCAGGTGCCGCTAACACTGTACTTCCGAGCTTGATTCGACTAGTGCTTGTATAGTGCTAAAGGTCATGCGAAATTCAGGTCAAGGGGGAGATTTGTTAGGTATTAATTGTCTTGAGTTTCTTACCATAAATAGTTTTTTTTTTTTAGGAAAATGTTTAAAATTTGACTAGTCTTAGCGTTTTGAAAGTTTTGATTATGGGGGAGAATTTGTGAACCTCCTTGTATTCCGAGTGAATTGGTTGGGGTTATTTCTCTCTATATTTTGTACTTTCATATTTATAGTGTATTGCTCATCTCCTTTGTGAATGTAGGTCGGTAGACTGAACCATGTTAAATCTTTGTGTCTTTTGGTATATTTCTCGTTTGTCTTCTTACTCATGATCTTTCGAGGTTTGCTTTGCTAGGTTCTACATGACATTTACTTATTTCGGTCCTAACAAATTTCTCAAATTGTCACTCATGTTGATGAAATTGTGTAGTGAAGCCATTTATGTCACCTTAATATCAATAAAATCACTCAACCTAAATCTTGTCTGCTACAAAAAAACTCCAACCGAAAAAACAACCTTCTTGCACTGGAAATCTGACATGGAAGGGGCCCGGGAACAACATGAGTGGGCCAGCAACAACACACCCAGACCCAGTGAAATCCCACAAGTAGGATCTAGGGAGATTGGTGTGCACGTAGCTTACCCCTACTTTTTGAAGGTACGTAGAAATATTATTTCTGATAGACCCTCGGCTCAAATAAAGAATATCAAAACAGGTATCAACCTGAGTGGCCATTTGAGAAAGTTACAGAATTCTCAACTTATTGGACCATTCGATTTTAGGAACTAACAAGCATTAGTAAATCAACAAGCACATCTTTTTTTGAACTAATGATATTTATATTAAACAGAAAAATATCCAGAAAGATGCAGTAATACAGAGACATGATTAAATTTTACAGCTGAAAGTCTTTAATCTTTAGTTTACAAAATTCATTTCAGAGTTTATGTCGAATCATCTTCAAAATCTTCTACCTTTCTATCTCCATGTAGATAAGTCCACCGATGCATTCCCCTCTCATATTTTACACACGAATCGTCTTCATAGTGCAGACGGTCCAACCCTCCCTTTACAGCTTTGCTAAGTTGTGAATCGGAGATGTCCTCAACGATGAATTGTGAGTCCCTTGCCAAAACACAAACATTATCTCTAGTCCCAACTCCTCCAGGCAATCTAGCCGCTGCATCTCTTACCAAACAATGGAGTGTGAAAAAAGGTGGTCTATTCCTCTTAAGAATATCATAATGACAAATCCTTTTGAATAGTTTGCCTCCACGCCTTTTTAGCGGAGCAACAACAGACTTCTTTCCGTCAACAGCTGTTTATGAGAAAGCCTTGTCAGGTTGTGTGTACGTTAGAGCTTCTTCCCTACGGAAACAATCTCTTATTTCCTCGCTACAGGGGTGAATCGTTTCAAGACTATTCATAGCTCTTGATTCCTCCGACCATTCGTCAAGATTGAATGACGTGCATGATCTGTTGTTGACTATTTGCATTAGAATCTTTGCAGCCCGATTGACTTCCTTCTCCGGCATATCATCAGATGTGTTTTTTGTCATCTTTATTTCTATATATGTCCTAATAAAATAAACAAAAGTAACATTGAAAATCAGCTTAATTTAAAAATATAATTGTAATATGTAATAGTGTCCAACTTCTCAATGCACCTCAATTTCTTAGTCGAAGCATAAAAAAATATACCAATGTAGTTGAGAAGAAGAAGCGAGCGAAAAGTGTGTAACTTTTTGCTGGAAGATATACGATGCACATCCAATCATAGATGTAATTATATTTTTTTAAAAGCGAGCAAAAAGTTAAAGCATGTTTGACCAACCTTCTGAAAGGTCAAACTTTTCTTTATCTAAAAAGAAAAATATTTAATTTGTTATAAATATGTGTTTGACCGAGATTTTGGTGTAAAAACAAATATTTTGGAGTACTAGTAGAAACTTTTAAGTAGAACTGAAAAAAAGATAAAATTCAATAAAGACTTTGATTCAATCCTGGTAATTAAAGACAAAATATCAGTCAATTCTAAACAAAATATACTGAAAGAGATGAGATGGAATTAAATCTTTTTAGCTATTTTTAGGTAAAATATCATGTATTTATATATTAGGAAAATTTTATTAAATATGCATGAATATTTAATTTTCAATCCAACAACTAAAACAAATAATGGTTTCCGTGATATATTAACAAAATGGATAGTTATATGTGGAAAAATATTTGGGATAACTCGTTGGGAGATTTTAAACAACAAAAATTATTAATTCCAATCAGATTCTTAATCAAAGTGAACACACAAAATTAGGATGGGATAAGTACTGAAACCTTAAATACATATATGAAGAATCATCATCATCTTCAACACATGATAAAACTTTAAACGCGACGAACAAAAGTGAAAAACAAAGAAAATAATGAGAAATCTCACCTCTAGTAACTTGTTAATGGATGGTATGATTTATATCGATGCTTCAAAGCTGAATGTAGGAAGAAGAAGAGAGAGTTTTGTTCATTTCAAGGTTTTGGAGGAGGAGGAAGAATTACATTTTAGCCCTCTTTGTAAATGCCACAAAAGACTATAGCAACATTGGATCAATGACAATTAACTAATGTTGGCAAAGGGTTTAGCACTCTTTGTTGATGTACATATTTATTGACGCTAAAAACTGTTTTTAGTTGAGAGCGCAAGCTTGTTTCTATTGGAATAGGCATCATTCGTGACCCCATTTTTTTTTAAAAAAATTATGACCGTATGTTGGTGAAACCTCTATATTGATGAATAAAATTACAAAGCTAAGGGGAGCTTAAGCTCAACCATTGTTCCAATAGCTGCTTCGCAAAAACTAAGGTTCTGACAAAAACTATACAAGTTTTGCAAAATTTTACAAGTCCAGAGTGCCTCCATTGTCCTGTTTCTTTATGAACCAGGAAAATTAGTGCTTCAGGTGCTGCTAACTCTGTACTCAGAGCTTGATTCAACTAGTGTTTATATAGTGGCCGGTAAAGGTCATGCGAAACAGCAAAAGATAGCTCAAAACGAAAATTCACTAGCCATGGGGTAAATTTCTCAAATCGTCACTCAAGTTGATGAAATTGTGTAGTAAATCCATTTATCTCACATTTATATCAATAAAATCACTCAACTTAAATCTTATCTCCTACAAAAAAAACTTCAACCGAAAAAAAAACCCATCTTTTTGCACCGAAAACCAGATATGGAAGGGGGTCCCAGGAATCAACTTGAGTGGCCAGACATGTAGGATCTAGGGAGGTTGGTGTGTACGCAACTTTCCCCTAACTTTTGAAGGTAGAGATATTATTTCTGATAGACCCTCGACTCAAATAAAGCATATCAAAACATGTATCAACCAGAGTGGCCATTTGAGGAAGTTAGTGAATTCTCAAGTTTTGATTTTAGGAATTAACAAGCATTAGTAAATCAACAAGCACATCTTTTTTTGCACTAATGATATTTATATTAAACATAAAAATATCCAGAAAGATGCAGCAATACAGAGACATGATTAAAATTTAGAGCTGAAAGTCTTTAAATCTTTAGTTTACAAAATTCACTTCAGAGTTTATGTCGAATCATCTTCAAAATCTTCTACCTTTCTATCTCCATGTAGATAAGTCCACCGATGCCTTTCCCTCTCATATTTTACACATGGATCGTCTTCATAGTGCAGACGGTCCAACCCTCCCCTTACAGCTTTGCTAAGTTGTGAATCGGAGATGTCCTCAACGATGAATTGTGAGTCCCTTGCCAAAACACAAACATCATCTCTAGTCCCAACT